TCCATTTGAAGGAAAGTATTAATACTAATTGAAGTAAATTTACGAGGTGTCCTCAACTAAAATTTTGCTGGATTTTAAAAGATTATAAATCTTAATGAATTTTGTGGATTTGAATAAATTTCCACAAATTTCTGGTGAAATTTCAAAAGATTTGATTATATGTATTTTCAAACTTGAAATTTATCCAAATCTTTTAAATCCATTCATTAATAAAATCTTCATAAATCTACTAGTTATCGATTATACCTAAATTTTGAAGGATTTCATTAAAATTTCAATTGGAAACACCTAAATTTTAATGAGTTTCATTAAAATCTATTAAAATCTCAATTGAAAATACTTAAATTTAGAAGGATTTTTAAAATCCGTCACAATCTCAATTGAGGACACTTCCCTTAATCAATTGTAGACTTCAAATTTAGAATTAATATTTGAGTATTAATACTATCTTACTCCATATATTCATTTAAATGTAAGAAAATATGGTCAATTTAATTTATAATATGTTGCCATTTAAATTGGTTCTTAAACGGGTTCTCATTTATATAGTTTTAATTAATTAATTAATTTTGGTTTATTTGATTTACTTATATGAGTATCAATTTTTTGAATTATATTGCATAAATAGTTTTCCTATTTGTAATGTGTATTAGAAATTGGCAAAAACAAATAATAGAATTAAATATTCGGATCTTGAATTCTAATTATGGTATGATTTATCAATTTTAGGCTGAAATTATGCAAATAAAAGTTTGGAAGAAATCTTCTACCTGGATCCCTAAGCTTGACATCATATTGAAGTTGGATGATTCGATGATGGAAGGTACAAAGTCCCAATATCATGTATCATTAACAAGTACGATATAACATTATATGTCGTGTTAATTGCTAACATTCAAAATTTAATTGAATTTTTCGTTGTCCCTTGACTAGATGGGATTGCTCTCGGGCAAAATTGGAGAGACTTCATTTTGCAAGATCGATTTTGTTTGTGATAGGATTTTAATAAACATGGATTTTGCACACCCTCACGACAAGGTTTGAGGATTACCTCTCAATCGTTCAAGACTTATAACTCAAATCACATATTGATTTATTTTATACCTCGAACTTTAGTTGGTTGCTCAATATCTGTTCAACCTTTGAGTTAGGCACCGAGAGCTAGTTGTGGATCACTCTCCACATTAGCAGATGTTGACTGAGCGGGAAAAACATCTTCATTCACGAGCATATCTCCAAAAACCTAACCTTGTTGCACTAATCCTTTGCGTTCTTTCTATTCTTTCCCATTTTATTACGGGATAAGCGGCTAACAACAATCTAAGAAGCAATCATTGTTGACCAATCGACTTGAACCCCAGAGAGCCCATGTTGGCCCATTTCGTCTCATCCCTAGATGGAATGGCTCTCTTACTAATGTTGCACACCAACCCGAGTTAACATTTGACTTGACCATATTAATTCTTACGAGTCATTCTAGGAACCCCAGAACGTGCTAACTAATCAAGAATCCAATAGCGTGACCAATTTACTCCAACACACAAAAGTAAAAATAGAACACCAAAGATTTTACGGTGGTTTGGTAAAAAAAAAATGCCTATTCCACGTAACTCATGTAGAAGGCCAATGTGCTTGGATAAAATCAAGAGTTCATAGAAGCCAATGTTACAACACCAGACCTCACAAGCACAAACATGGATTGTTTTTAAGTTGTAACACTACAAGAATTACAATTCTCACTGGCCTATCTCTTTACAGTTGCCAATTTCCCCTTCAAGGCTATTCTTACATAGACACGAGGAGAAGACTGTTAAAGATTCGGGCTTTCATCACGTGTCAAGCTCTCATAGGTCCACAGGCTGTCTTTGTTGAATTGATATTTACATGAATTTGCTTTGCATTCTTACCATAACACCCTTAAGGCCATACAATTCTTCTGTTTTAACTTCCTTTGAACTGTTTAAAGAAAATTTGCAGGCATCAATGGCATCCTCTATCGATAGAAATACATTTTCCTTCCCAATTTTGTATAAATTTCGTAACTATCAACTTCTCCATGACAAATTGTCTTGGATTTATTAAAATCATCTGCAAAAATGTGGAAATATCGAACATTTTGGTACATATTTGCACTCATATTACTTTTAGAGAAAAATGTATAGTGGAAGATTTATGTGCTTCACCTTGATTCCTTTTGTTTCTAAATTTCTTTTCGCTTCAACAAATGTTTCAATTCCGGTTATGTCCATTGCTGTCACACCTATACATATCATTGAATTTATTAGCTGGTTTAGTCAGCATGTTTAGTATTCTAGACTCGGAAAGAATGGCCGGAATTTCGAAATCTTACCTCCCAAATCAAGTAATACATATTCAATTACATTTCCTGAATTGTTCCTCTCTAACCCATCTTACAATCCTAATCCAATAAATTCCACCCAAAAAATGAAAGATAAGTAATTAAGAGAATGAATTAAACAATTAATTAAGCAAAAATAAGTAATAATTTATCTGGTTATGGAAAGAACCTGTCACTTCGGTAGCTGCAATTTGCAAAATATATAGGGGAACAAAGCTTCATGAAAGGACTCCCAGTTGCACCTGGATATTGCTCTATGTTGCGATACAACTTTGTGTCTGTTAGCTTGCATGAAGCAGGCCTTGCTATGTACAACAGTGCTCTTACGAGAGCCAGTCCCTTCTGAAAATAAGCGGAACAATGATTTTATCAGGTCGCCTCGTCTAAAAGGTTAAATTCTTTATTTATCTTTTGAGTTCGTGCACCTTATCATGCAGGCCTAATTTGTGGATATTCTATATAACGTGGTAAGATACTAAGGATCCGTTTGATAGTGCTTCTGCTTAGATCAATTTCCTCTAAAAGTTCTTTTATTTAGACAAAACATTTTCACAAAATTGTCCAAACAAGTATAAAAGTAGTCTATTAGTTTCATAAGTAGCTTTTGACTTTTCAAAAGTCTTGCCTAATCGATCCTAACTTTGTTTCCCCCACATTAGGACCGATGGGTGCCCTCATCTAACCACCTGGCTTATACGATTTTGGATGCTAAGATGGGCTCGATTTATGGGGATTTAAACTATATTAATGTTCTTTTGAGCAAGTACTAAATAAATGAAGCAAACTCTCACCGAAATCATGAGTCCGGTTCCCATGCCTATGAAAGAAACACCAAGAAAAGCACTGATGGAATAATGAAATCAAATTTGTCTGTCTTGAACAAATGATAAGCCTTTCGTACTCGATAAGCCCAACCATTGCTGACATGATAATGGTCAGAAGAGCAACCAGCAGCATACACAGTGACATTACTACATTTGACATTGCTGTTTTGTATCCAGCATTGAAATTTACAGCAGTTTTTGAAAATGGCCTATAAAATCATATTCAATATTAATAAGAATTAGCCCTTTCGAAGCAAAACGTACTAGGGTTTGTTTCATGTTACTTGTTGCGTATAAAAACGATCACTTAAAAGTCCTTTATATATCGTAAGAATGTTAAGTTGATCTTGGGTCGAGGAAATAATTGTAGTGTGTATGTGTCACATACCAGTGGTTAAGTAGCACGACGTGAAAGATCCAACAATGTTCATGAGGCCAAGGGCTATCATCTCCTTGTTACCGTCAATTTGTTCATTTTTCTGCACTTTCCCATTTCCACTGCAAGAAATAATCGTTATGTTTGAAAATAAATTAGTTACTTATTTTGAAAGTTCTATCTTATTATCAGAACATCTTATTTTGGAAAATATTGTTCATAACCCTTATTACCTTAATAGTCCCATTGCTGTCTGAAGCAAACCAGAGATAAAAGTGGTTGTATAAACAAGACTTGGATACAATTTGAGATCTTCAGTGGGAGATACTTTTTCTTCAATTGTTTCTGCTATGAATAATGAACAAGCTGCAACTCTTCCTACTGCTAGATTTTTTGAACTTCCAAAAACAGCATAGATAAGAGGGGGCACAAAGCTTGAGTCTGCACCAAAATACACATAAAATAAGAGAATGTAAATGACATCTATTAAGTTAGTCCAATTCAATCCAATTAAACCACTTGTAGAGAACTATTTCATCTGTAAAAATGCCAGAATACTCACATGGGGGTGGGCCCCATGTGAATAAAATATTATTATAAAAAATGGGGCCCACCCCTATGTGTGTATTCTGTTATTTTTATAGATTTCTTTTTTCTGTAACAGTAGCATTGTTCAATTCAATCAAAAACTTTATTTACTCGTACTGTTTAATCATGTCGTATATTGCTCAACAAACCTCCATTGAAAGAGAAATTGAAGCTTAGAAAGCCCAATTCTTTATTTGCTTGTTTAGTAAGTCATATTTTACAATAATATTACTGATGAAAGAGGTTAAAATTTTATCTATTATTTTGACCAATCATAATTAATACAAAGGTGGAAGTAGAAATGCATTTTAGGGTACACTAATTTTTTTAACTAGTATGGACATAGACTTTTGGGATGGACTAGAGCATTATACATCCAATTCTTTTTGGAAAGAATTTATAAACAGTTTAATTTATAAATAAATAGAAATGAGCAATCCAAAGGTTAACAATACTTGTAATCTATTGAAATGTGTGATTGAAAATTAAGTTTGACAATTTATAAATAATTTATTAAATTTTGCCGAACTGAGGATAAGAGAGTATCTTTGAACCAATTTTGTTAAGTAAAGAAATAATAGAGTTTATGAGATAATTAATTATACAGTTAAATCATTATGGAGATTATGTAAAAATATTAATTTTTTCCGTACTTTTAACATCGAATCAAGATGCAATTGAACATTCTTCTTTCACCATACTGCACTTGCACATTCTCCTTGAAGCAAGATTTCAAAAAGTGCATATGATCATTATTTTGTAACTGATTAAATTTTTGGATGATGTCATAAAAAATAATATTAGAACAAAATAAAAGTCATGAGCTCAAATCTTGTCATTTATGAAAAATTGTCAAGAGTCAGGCCTTTGTTGAATATATGAATTCGCTGATTTATACGTACAGAGGCAGGTTTTATGCAATATTTGAATAAATAAGTATTTTCTTAAACTTTTAGATGAGAAGATCGACAACTCTCAAGCATCACCATAAAGTAGAGCTGTAAGCAAAAATCGCTAAATCGGAAAATCGAATCGAAACCGCATTTTAGAAACCGTCGGTTTGGTACCACGTGGACCTGTCAATGAAATGATTTTGAACTAAAACCGGTTTGGACTTTGGTCAGAGTTTGAGAATTTTAATTGCGGTTTAAAATCAAATCGGACAGGCAAAAAAGTATATAAAAATAAAAAAATGAAAATATGTAAAATTCAATAGTTTTGTCATGTGTGGTTATTTTTGTCAATTTCTAATTTTTTATTA